CTGTATATTTTTACCAGAGACCTATCATTTAGTATATATTATATGTCAGTGATATTGTTTGCCTCAAATTACATCCAAAATACAGCTTTTTCCCTTAAAGAAAATTCCCAATTACTAAAAAAAAATGGCTTAAAATTCCTCCCAATAAGTTGTACAATTTTCCCAAACAGTGATGGCATCGGTAGTAATGTATGTAAATTTCGTATTCATGTTATTATTTGGATATTCTGAAAGCACTTTTGAGATCCAGGTTTCTGATCAGAATCATCACGGCGTTTGTAACACACATGGTTTTCAATGTATTAAGTACCATCATTGTTTCAGTTCCTTTCCCCTCCCCAAAAAGTACCTTTCATGTTAAAAATGTCTGAGGTGACAATCAAAATATACGTGAATAAACTGATAAACTGTACAATAAAGACAGCAATGGTCAGCAAAAAATGTGGGATTTGTTGACAATTAATATTTTGTAAAATTCCTAGTTATAAACAAAATTTTGACTAGCCCGTCGGACTACTGTGATGGAAACTTTACTAGCCCTCCCTAATTTTTACTAGCCTCGGGCTAGCGGACTAGCGTTAGTGTCGAACCCTGGATCATGTGACTTGAAACGTTCTGGACACTGTTGAAACTGATTTCAATTGTCCATATTGGTCGAGGAAATTAAGACTAAATGCATGGCTTCGTAATTTCAACTAAGCAGTCGGAATATTTTTTCTCGCAAATGTAGGACAAATTCGGGCAAACGTAACGCGCCGTCAAAGCCAATAACAACTAATGAAAAAAATCATGTATCTAATAGATATAAGAAGATGTGGTATGAGTGCCAATGAGACAACTCTCCATCCAAGTCAAAATTTATAAAAGTAAACCATTATTATTATCAAAGTACGGTCTTCAACACGGAGCCTTGGGTCACACCGAACAGCAAGCTATAAAGGGCCCCAAAAATTACTAGTATAAAACAATTCAAACGGGAAAACCAACGGTCTAATCTACATAAAAAAAAAACGAGAAACGAGAAACACTTATGAACCACATCAACAAACGACAACTACTGAACATCAGATTCCTGACTTAGGACAGGTGCAAACAATTGCAGCGGGTTTAAACGTTTTAATGGCACCAAACCTTCACCCTTATCTGAAACAACAGTGTAACATCACAACATAGAAAAACACACTATAAAATATCAATTGAAATGGCTTAACTCAATCAAAAGACATATTAACACCAGTGAACATACACTGAACAAATAAATTTGATCTATGATACAATGTAAATACAAAATAAATAAACTAAGGGAAGAATAATTAAAGTAACATGTTATACCGCTGTGAAATGTTAAATAATTTAAGAAAATAATATGCTTGAACAAATATATCAGCCATATGCAATTAACGTAACATGTTATACCGCTGTGAAATGTTAAATAATTTAAGAAAACAATATGCTTGAACAAAAATATTAGCCATATGCAATTACTTTAAACACAGGTAAATGAAAATAATTTTGTTGTTAGGTATACGTGTACAGTTCAAATGGAGAAAGGAAATATTTTTACAAAATAAATAATTTTGATGTTCATAGTACGAAGAAGTGAAAATTTATAGTAATATCAAACACTTATCAAAGCTACTATATAGACCAGATATAGCCCTGAATAACATTAAATAACGAAAAAAGCATAACAATTAGTATCAACAGGTCAAATAAACAAGAAAGTACGATTTGGGAGTACTCACAGTTACTGACAGCTAGTTAAAAGCCAAAAACAATTAATAATAAAAAATCATGCATCAGAGACTAAGACTATTACAGCAATCAAACTTTTTTTTTCGCTTATCACTTGCCGAAGTGTGTCCCCTCTTTTCAGTCTACTCCTACGCCACTGAATTTTCATCATTCACATTGTTAATTTCAATTTATTTTTCTTAAAGAATGAACATTCAAAATCTCATTTATGATCATTTATGGTAATAAACAACTCTGATTGTTGTGGAAGTTTTTGCTTATTTCCATACATATTGTGTTCCGTTCACATGGTGCATTTATTTTCATCTTGTTATTTACACCACTTACCACTTACATAGGAAGGCGTCACAGCAAAAAATATATAATAGCCTTTCAAGACGTCATAATTATTTTTTAACGTGCTCGCATGTCACTCTACACGGACAAATTATTACGATTCCGATCCCGAAAGTCTCCTCACAATCCTAACAATCACGTGCTTAGCGGAGAAGCAGCAAATAACATTTTTCAAGTCTTTGGTTTGACCCGGCTTGTGGTCGAACCGCCAAGACCTCGCCTCCCACACCAGAGGCGAACATGCTACCACGAGACCACCGAGGCGGTTACAAAATTAAATCATTAGCATATTAATATAAATGGATTGTTTAACATGAAGCGGAAAGTCATTGATATCAATCAAAAATAAACGAGTACCGAAAATGGAATCTTGTGCACTCTCTCTCTCTCTCTCTATATATATATATCTTACAAACTTTCTCTATATTTTACAAACTTTCTATCAGATTTAATATTTGCTTGTTGAACTTCTTGCTCACATGCTGTCTGTCAGATAAGTTGATTTTAATATCCATAAATTTAGCATGTGTTCTTTCACGATTAACAATATTGTCAATGGACTGATTACTGGAATCGTTGCCCTTTTATATAAGAGTGTAACTTGTTACATTTTTTTAATAATACACGAGCTTATATCGTGATGTTCTCGAAATAATGATATAAAGTAAACTTTTTAAAGATTTGTTTTGGTCAGACTGGTGATATTTATGGATTGATTGGTTGATTGATAGATTAATAACGTCCAGCGGCAAATATTCAAGGCATATTTTCAAAACGATAACAGAAACTAAAAAAGTTGTGCAAGTTCGTTAGAACCGTAAAAAAAAATGGATTCTCTCTGATAAAAAATTTTAACCTTCAACCTATACATCCGTTTCTAGTCTAATAAGACTTCATCTGCTACATGTACCACCCCATAACATGTACCATATGTATTATAATATCATGATGTTTGTCTCTCTGTTTCTGTATACCATTGTATCAATAAAGGTTTTTCAGTTTAAAATACATAAGACGCCATAAAAGAACATACACATTTGTGAACTGCATTTCTTCAGAACAATAAATTTAAATTATAGAAAAAATAACACGTTAGTTAAATTTGAAATAATAAATAAAAAAGGAGTCCCAAGACTACAACCTTGTATATATTATGTATCAGACATTATAATATCAATTACCTAACTTGTTGTATACGTTCAAAATTCTTTAGGTTTAAGTATTCCTCCTATGTATCTGAAGATTATTTACTGTCTTCGCAACATAACCTTTGTACCTTTATTTAAAAAAAAGTGGAAAAATATAATATGAAGTGCCCAAAATTTGAACTGATGGTTAAAACTATGTACGTTGGTTTATGGAGTAAATGAAGGTGATGAGAACAGCTGGAGTGAGCTGTTGCCTTTAGTCAACTGAAGAGGCAGTAACTGGTTTTGTTGGAAGCAATTTCATCGGGTTCTAGAATATGGGAAAACAAATATTTATATGCATTATGATCTTTTAGTTTTGTAGCTGGAATTTGTTTATATGTGAATTTATGTTTTTTTTTGTGGGTTCTACTGTCAGATGGTATAAGATTGGTAGATGGACTTCATTATTGCTACGATTTTATTGAGTATTTTGTAAAACAATCTTGTGCGTAGTCTCATTTCTTGTCGTGTTGGCCAGTCTAAGGTGTATATCATTTATGTTACCTTTCTGATGTTATGATATCGGTTACAGGCATATCTGTCTACTCTTCCTTGGGACCATCTCAATTTTTGTAGTCTATGTTACCGAGTTCTCAAGGGTCCCATACTGAACATGAATATTCTAGTTTTGATCGATAGGTATGCCTGACTCTTGATGACTTGATTTTTAAAAAATTTCTTTTGAAAAGCCTTATGAATTATTGTCGTTAGGATTGAGATTATCTTTTATGTTTTTTACCTTTTAAGTTGTGTCACGCGTAGTTATTTAGTAGTTAAAGAGACAAGTTCAGGTTGTGTTATTGAGAATAGAGTCGTGTTTGAATGTTTTTTCTTTATTTTGTGATACTGTAAGGACTGTGTATTTGACAATGACATGGTATGGTTTGAAAGCCACCAAACAGTCTCGCTGTTACCTACCTCGGCTGTAGATCTAGATCTAACTGCAGAGCATAGCAGTCATTGTAAAATCTAATGGATTTGTAGATGATACTGTCATCGGCAAACAGTCTACGGTCGATTAAGTATTCTGGTAGACATTCAGAATAGGATTGGACCCAAAACTGTGCCTTAGGGGACACCTGAGGTGATTGGAGCCAAGTATGTCAAGTATCAAACCAATCTAGCCGGATAACAATTTGAAATATATTCAAGTTTTCTCAACAACTGAATTATATGAATAATCAACTACCAGATCAAATCTTTATTTGTATTTTAGAATACAATTCATTTATCTCTCTATTATCTATGCTTAACCATTCATCTTCCAGTTTAATAAGTGCAGTGGTGTCTGGAAACTGACTGCGAATTATTGAGAAGGTAATCAGTCTTATTCAAATATATATATGTATATTTATTAGCAATGTTTCTTTCACTGATTTTGGAAATTCAGGGTAGATCAGATCTGCTAGGGTCTATCAATATCAGGATTACACACATCAACAATTTCATTCGAAACATGACGCAGTGATGATGATGCTGACGATGGCCACTAACGATGAGGATAACGATTATCATTATTGTTATGATTATTACTATTATCAGAGACATATAATACGTGTATGCATTATATGTCTCTGCTGTTATTATCAATTCTCTTCGAAATCTAATTAGAAATAAGAATTCTTATGCCTTAGAATATTGTGTTACCGTCAATTTCTTATTTAACAATAACCTACAAAAATATTTTGTAACTCTTTTTATTAAAGGTAGAAAGAGTTTTAGTCAACAATTTTCCAGAGCAATGCCTTCCACCTGACTACGTTCTCCAACAGTTTGGTCATGTACACAACGAGGAAATTTTGTTTGAAGATGTGATTCTTGTACCTACACATTCTAGCTTGGTTGATTTACCATTCAGGATGAGTATGGAGGACGAAGAGGGACTTTATGCGGTAAGGAGAATATTGACCTAATTAAACGGGCACCTGCCAGCCTGCTGTTGATTTTTTACAGTTGACTGGACAACAATTGTCAATCCAGTACATCAAGTTCTAAAGATGTAATTCAAAAGAATTTATCAACCAACCATTAACATATTAATTACTAACTTTGTCAATCTACCTTTGAACGAACTTCTCCATTTTATGACAATCAGACAAATTTATCAACACTTGTCAGTCCCTGACCGTCTGCTATGACACAGGTCGCTCAAATATAAGGCGACAATAACAAACTTAATAACTAACCAAATAAATCAACATATTAACATTTCTTACAGACTTGATGCACTTTTGTGCAAAAGTATTTTTGTACAGCAAATGTGTATACATGTATCCTATACGGATGTTAATTGGGTACCTCAAACTGTTTTCAAAAAAGAGAACTCAAACCTTTATATACAACTTAGGGGATAACCATTTTATTTTCGGGGGGGGGGGGATGATTTTGAAAATGAGAATTCTGGCATGGTTGGCAGACTGGTTGGTGAAAGACAGGATAAAAATGATTATACTGCATCACAAAATGCAGGAAATATATATGTGTACAAAAGCGAAAGTAAATATTCGGAATGAAAAAAAATAAGCATGATGCATACATGGTGTAGCAAGAGATAAAAATGAATTTTCAAATGCAAAAAATTCTCCTGCCGTTGGTTTGTGATATTTTGGCTGGATTTATTGTTGCATGATAAATTTACCACCAGTGTTTTCCCTAATTTGTCTCTGAAATGAAGTACTCATGGACAAGATTTTAGAAAATAAAAAAAAAAATTAATTCAAAAGTAAAGACATTTCAAAAGATCGGTTATCTAGGTTAGACAAGATGTGGTTTGGGCTTCAATCAGGTTGGAATGAAGAACATGATAAATAGAACAGAATATTTTTTGTAACGTTGTCATTAAACATGTATTGGTGTAATATACACTATGTCTAGCATGTCTGGAAGTAGAAAATATTTGTTTCCCCCCTGTACATGTATACTACATTGTACTAGGGGTTTATTATCATTTGTTGAATACCAATTTTCATGGGTGCATGGGAATTACTGTAAAACAAATTTAAATATTACACGAATTACAAATTTTCTATATATGCGTAGGTGAACTATAAAATAATTGTACAGTGAGATATTCAACATATTGACAAACAAATTCAACAATTCACCTTTTTCATTTTGTATAATAAGTTAATATAATGCATTAATAAAGTTTTATTAAAACTATAAAATTACCATGATAATTTAGGTTCTGAGAATAACAGATTTGGTTTCAGTTTCTGCTTAATTAATTTTTCCTTGAATTGATTATCAGATAAGTCATTGTAAGTACACCTCAACAGTTTTTTATGTAATTTTTTTAGACAGATGGATGAACATATTATTAATTTATTAATAATTAAATTATTTCCTTCCTGTTGTCACATTAAGTCTGGCAGAGATTTAATTGTTAAAAATAATTTAAAAATTTTACTGAAATGTCTCTTGACATTATCTGCAGTCATCACAATTAACTTTTACAGCCACTGGCCTGAACGTAAATTTGGGAAAATTTTGTATTCATTTTATGGGCTTGTAGAAGAAATTCTTACAGGCAGGTTTGATTGAAATTTTACAAACCTAGGCTGCTGGCTGGCCACCAATCATGAATACTGTATCTGTCAGTACTGTTTATCATGAATTGTTTGCAGACTTTAGGTCTGACAGTTTTCCCCCAGTCCAGTTTTTGGACTGATATATGAATTGTTTGCAGACTTTAGGTCTGAAAATTTTTCCCCAGTCCAGTTTTTGGACTGATATATGTATTGTTGACACAGGAACGTGTGAAAAGAATTGGCTTCTACAAAGTCATTAAAACACATATCAAAAGCTCATGTGCTTGTTCTTGTATGTTTATTTTTTTTCCAGAGGAGTCAGGTGGTGGGGTCTATGTGTTTTGTTTTGTCTATTTTATTCCTGTTATCCTTTTTATGATATATCTGCTTACCCTTCCGGAGCACCTGAGATCACCCCCAGTCTTTGGTGGGGTTTGTGTTGCTTAGTCTTTAGTTTTCTATGTTGTGTCATCTGTACTATTATTTGTCTGTTTATCTTTTTATTTTTGGCCATGGCGTTGTCAGTTTGTTTTCGATCTATGAGTTTGACTGTCCCTCTGGTATCTTCCGTCCCTCTTTTATGAGTTATAGAATGTTCTAGTGTTTTATTTGTTTTTACGTTACTATAAACTTGTATAAATATTTTATGAAAATGGAGTTTTTATATTTTTGTTATTCTTTCAGTACATGTATGTAACAAATGTCTTTTGAATGAAAAGATTTTGTCTGTGGTACATGTATGCCCTTAAAGAACTTACAAAGTACATTCATTAATTGACCTTAAGTAAATATTAAGGATATAAAGAAATTAAATACCCAGATTATAAAGTTTATAAAAGGGCTGGATGGATCACTGGACATTTGGTCACTCAGTGGATAATTATATATAATTACTACTAATATTACAATCATAATTTTCTGGTTAGATGGTTGAGTGACTTGCTACTAAATTTTGAACTGAAAATGATAAAAAATAAGGTATTTTTGTGAAGTAGCCGACTCCATGATTTTGGTAACCTTCTGTAAAATGAAAAACATGAAAAAATTCAGCCTTCTGGGCCCCAGCCAGTTTTCATCCCTGCTATGACTACATGTATGTACCTGAAGGCTATGGAAACAAATTATAAAGATATTGACAGAAGTATTAATTTTGACTTTGAGCCTCATGGTTTATAAAATTTCCTTTACACTGTAACTTTGAAGTTTCCTATTATTAAATTTTCCTGAAGACACCACCACTGTAAGTGGCATAACATGTAGACTAGAAAAAAGTATTTCATTGCAGTAATCCAGGATGTTGTTGTCTTTTTATAGTTTCAACATTGAAGTGTTTAAAATTCAATACTGTGTCTACTGTAAGCGTGATTTATAAACTAAAAGCGATATCCATACTTATCCTTATATATATAAGAATCTACCAGACTCATATATATATATTCAATTTAGACTTGTATATATATATTTTTCTATTTGACTTTTCTATTTGACTACCTTAAAAAGATTTTATTTTTTTTAAGAACAAGACAGCTCTGCAATGCTATTTTTGCTACAAAAGTAATATATACCATCGGTAGTCCTCTTTTTGTGGGACATTCATCACAGATGAGTATCACAGAATGACCAAATGGGCAACATGTGGACAAAGGGAGTCTACATGTTATGCCACTTACAGTCTTTATAATAATTTTCAAAAGGGGGAGGGGTAGTCAGAACTCCCTTTGGCTATTGGTATGGACTGATTAAACATTTTCCCAGTTCAGTATTTATTATAAAATACTGCAGATTTCTACCATTCCTCTTCAGAATTAGAAGTCAGTGATATGCTTAAATTTTTTAAGAACAAATTTTTGTAACAAGTAATCCTTGTTTATAGTAGGATTATGTTTAAAATGCATGTTTTTTTCATAGTAAACACTATTTCCATTATAAAGTAGCAACATGATTTTGGAGTTCTCTCCCTTTGTCCACATGTTGCCCATTTGGTCATTCTGTGATACTCATCTGTGATGAATGTCCCACAAAAAGAGGACTACCGATGTTATATATTTCTTTTGTAGCAAAAATAGCATTGCAGAGCTGTTGTTGAGTGTGAGCTTACCTTGTTACTTTATCATTAATATTATAAATGATTAGTCAAACATTAGTTTGAATCTCAACTTTAATAGTCTTTTATAGTATTTTTTGTTTTCAAAAGGGGGAGGGGTAGTCAGAACTCCCTTTGGCTATTAGTATGGACTGATTAAACATTTTCCCAGTTCAGTATTTATTATAAAATACTGCAGATTTCTACCATTCCTCTTCAGAATTAGAAGTCAGTGATATGCATGACTCATCGATATTTGGTAAACAGTTGCATTAATATCCATGTGTCATGGAATAGAAAGTTTTATATAATAACAGTTCCAAATGGAAGAATTATTCTGGAATATTATTTTAACTGGAAAAAATGTGACCGTATTTATTCCTTACAGAATAAAGGGTATACAACATTTGTTCCAACAGGAACAGATATTATAGCATAGTTTTACAAAGTTTTACATTAGCTAACATGATGTCCCAGCCCCTTGACATGCTCCAGTGACTTCAGAATTGAATGTTAACTTTTCTGATTGAAACAATTTTAGATCTGTCACTTATCCACTTAATGTTTGCTGCATACATGCACATGATGTATATGTACATGTACATTGCATGTTTTTGTCATCAATGCAATGAGGCCAAATAAATATATATGTGGTACTGGTTTCCTGACCGACCTTATTTAAACCCAGTCCCTAGCACTTTCATTACCCTTCTGATAAAAATAAAAACTTATGTCAAAGATGATTTTATCTCAGCAACTGCAAGGCAAAGCTTCTAAATATTTGGTACCAAGCTTCATATTACAATTGGTAGCCATAATGTGTGACACATAAATTTATAAAGCATGAAAGATCATAAAAGGTGAATGTCACTCATCTACTTCCCTTTTGCCACAAACATGTAGTTATGTTCTATACATTTGTGGAAATAAAAGAATACCAGAAATCTTTTGGCATTTTTTTAAAGCAGCTACTAGCCAAATCTGCTTGACATCTAGTAATAAACTTAACCATGTGCTTCTTTTCTTTCTGATTTTTATGCCCCTGCCTACAATGGTGGCATTAAGTGTTATCTTCACTGTCTATCTTTCTGTCAGTCTGTCCATCCCATTTTCGTTTTTTTTAAGCTTGAGCGGGGGCATTCGTGTCCTCAGACACATTCTTCTTTTATTTATTTCTGCTTCCACATTCCTTTCACTCAAAAGCAAGAGCAGGAGTATAAACTAGTGAGCAGTAGCTCACAGAACAGGGTTAAAACTAGTGAGCAGTAGCTCACAGAAC